ATAGAGTGGTTAAAGTATTCACTCAGGGATGAGTGACTCAAATCAGCTGCTGTCTCTTTATACAGGGTTTCAAATTATCATGCCTCATTCTCCTTTGGTAGTTGCCTTTCCATTTTACATATGTGAGGACTGCATGTTTCACTTTTTCCCGATGAAGCTATTCATCATGCAACACATTCTGGACTCATTAGGCCTGAGAGAAAATGTGACACCATAGCCTTTCTGTCACATCACTGCGTGAGAAACATGATCTCCTATTCCTGCCATCGTTTTATCAATAATCCATTTTACAGTGAAATGTTTCACTGGTTTGTTTTTTTTATATTTATATTGAGTATTTTATGAAGACAATGCCTAGATGGATAAAGACATTTAGTTAGCAAATCATACTGAGAGGGGAAAGTACCAGTTGCCAGTGTTTGCATGATCAGTGTCTGTAATAATCATTCAGAACTGATTTTTTAGAGATCTCTAGACTTGTGTTTAATCATAGAGAACAACAAAGTATAAGAAGTGCTGACAGTAAGGCATCCTTACTTTGGTCTCAGAGGGCGTAATTGTATCCATTGCATAAAAGGAGAACTGAGAGAAAAAGAGGAAACAGGAACAGCAAGTGTTCTATTAAAGTATTAGAGCCATTTTTCAAGGTGATGAGAGATGTATGATTTGGACATAAAACGTATACACACAATGTGCTGCATGTTCTCTGTAATAACATATTAATTCTAACAAAAGACCAGCAAGTACTTCCACACCATTCCATATGAAAAATCTGACTAATTCTATGCTTCTGAACGCAATGGCTTTACATCTTTAGGTACTGTATTACTCATGGAACTAGAACTGAATCTGTAGGAGTATTACATTTTTAATACACTTTTATTGAGATCTTATTTTAAGTAAGGTGCTTTAATAAAAATTAACTAAAAAATGAAATTGCATAGCAATACCCCAAAGCACTCAGGTTTTTGGCTTATATTCAACACTTCAATGATTCTAGGTGATAGGAGAAAAGTGAAGCATACAGAGTAGGTGACAGCCATTGGTTATCAGAAATTATGGATAGCAGAACAGAATAAGAAAAGATCTTTTTTGCAGGGCCTGTTGTGATAGATGAGAGATGATGGTTTCAAACAAAAAGAGGGGAAATTCAGGCTGGACGTGAGGAAAAAATTCTTTACAAAGAGGGTGGTGAAACACTAGCACAGGTTGCACAGACAGGTGGTGGATGCACCATCCCTGGGCACATTCAAGACCAGAGTGGATGTGGTTTTGGGGAACCTGATCTGGTTGAAGATGTCCCTGCTTGCTGCAGGGGGTTTGAACTAGATGACCTCCGAAGGTCCCTTTGAACCCAAACTCTTTCATGATTCTATGATGATCTTACAACTATTTTCTTTTTTTACGTCACATCTCTCTGAATTAATCTACATTCCATAACATAGAATTAACAAATAACTGCCAATTTTCTGGCAATATGCAGATACACACATTAGATGAATCAATTCACGCTGTTTGAGAAAGGTTTTTCCTGTTCTTACTATGAGAAACATGAAAAACCCTTTTTTAACGAGACATCCTGTGAAATAGATTCAGCAAATCGAGAAGATAAATGTTCACAGTATCACAGTATGTTAGAGATTGGAAGGGACCTCAAAAGATCATCTAGTCCAATCCCCCTGCTGGAGCAGGAACACCTAGATAAGGTTACACAGGAACGTGTCCAGGCGGGTCTTGAATGTCTCCAGAGAAGGAGACTCCACAACCTCCCTGGGCAGCCTGTTCCAGTGTTCCGTCACCCTCACTGAGAAGAAGTTTCTTCTCAAGTTTAAGTGGAACCTCTTGTGTTCCAGTTTGTACCCATTTCCCCTTGTCCTATCATTGCCACTGAGAAGAGCCTGGCTCCATCCTCGTGACACTCCCCCTTTATATATTTATATACACTAATAAGGTCACCCCTCAGTCTCCTCTTCTCCAAACTATAGAGACCCAGCTCCCTCAGTCTTTCCTCATAAGGGAGATGCTCCACTCCCTTAATCATCTTAGTTGCCCTGCGCTGGACTCTCTCCAGCAGGTCCCTGTCCTTCTTAAACTGAGGGGCCCAGAACTGGACACAATATTCCAGATGAGGTCTCACCAGGGCTGAGTAGAGGGGAAGGAGGACCTCTCTCGACCTACTAACCACCCCCCTTCTAATACACCCCAGGATGCCATTGGCCTTCTTGGCCACAAGGCCACAGTGTCGGCTCATGGTCACCCTGTCGTCCACCAGGACCCCCAGGTCCCTCTCCCCTACACTGCTCTCTAACAGGTCGTTCCCCAACCTATACTGGAACCTGGGGTTGTTCCTGCCCAGATGCAGGACTCTACACTTTCCCTTGTTATATTTCATCAAGTTATTCCTCGCCCAACTCTCCAGGCTGTCCAGGTCTCGCTGGATGGCAGCACAGCCTTCTGGCGTGTCGGCCACTCCTCCCAGCTTAGTGTCATCAGCAAACTTGCTGATAGTACACTCAATTCCCTCATCTAAATCGTTGATGAATATATTAAATAATACTGGTCCCAGTACCGACCCTTGAGGCACTCCACTAGATACAGGCCTCCAACTAGACTCCGCCCCATAGACTACAACTCTCTGGCTTCTCTCCTTCAGCCAGTTCTCCTAGAAGGGATCAAGTTAGGCCTCGTGCAAGTCAGGTCACACTCTGGTTCTTTCAAATCCTTTCTTTTTTTTTCTTTTTTTTTTTTTCCCAATGTGTTATTAAGTTATTAAAACTTCTGTGTCTACCAAAGTATTGAGAAGGAAAGAGCAGAAGGGCCACTATTGAGACCTGGCAATTCATTTTCAAAGATGACTGCCTTTGTACCAAGGAAATCAGTAGATAACATTTCCTCTAAACACACAGTATCTTCATCACATGAAAGTATTTTTCTGTAATTGTGTGTAAATAATTAACAATTATATATAAATTAACAGTATGTATTTGTGAGTCTTCTAGACTCACTTCATATTGTTCACAAGTTTGCACAATAATTCAAATACACTTAAAACACTTTCTAATTACTATTTGAAACATTACTCACACTACAAAACCTCAGCTTAGAACTGAATCTGTGGAAGGCAACCATTCATAGAGATCTAACCTTGCCTCAGTTAACCAGAACTGCTTTTTTTGCTGTAAAAAAGATGACTGTTCAGCACCTTTTCACTTTTTGCAATACACTTCTCAGAATAAAGTTGTGCTTTGGAGGAGTTCTAGAGAATAGCTGAATTGAGATGTGTAAAGCTGTGTCAGGGTGCACATGTCCAGCAGAGTATAATTTACCTCAGAGTTCAGCTTCCTGTCCTAACCATCTTTAAATAGAACCTGTATCAGGTTTTATGCCTTAAAAATGTTGCCTTAGTTTAGGATATTATGGTTTCTATCACCCTTTCTGTGCTTGGTGTGCTGTTAAAAGCAATCCTTTGTGTCTGCCAAGAGAATCTCTAAGCAAATTCTGTAGAACTTTCTGGTATGCATCTCTCACATCAGCTACCATGCAGATTTTAGGAAGTACCAGAATCATAGAATCATATAATGGTTAGGGTTGGAAAGGACCTTAAGATCATCAAGTTCCAACCCCCTGCCATGTGCAGGGACACCTCTCTCTAAACCATATCACCCAAGGCCTCGTCCAACCTGTCCTTGAACACTGCCAGGGATGGAGCATTCACAGCCTCCCTGGGCAACCCATCCCAGTGCCTCACCACCCTAACAGGAAAGAATTTCCTCCTTATATCCAATCTAAACTTCCCCTGTTTAAGTTTTAACCCATTACCCCTGTCCTGTCACTACAGTCCCTAATGAAGAGTCCCTCCCCAGCATCCCTATAGGCCCCCTTCAGATACTGGAAGGCTGCTATGAGGTCTCCATGCAGCCTTCTCTTCTCCAGGCTGAACAGCCCCAACTCTCTCAGCCTATCATCTACCACCTAATGTCATTTTAAGTGGAAGGAAAACAAAAATAATCCTAATGCTGTTTCTTTTGAGAATTACTGCCTGGAATATACTTAACATTTACGGGAGCAGGCATGGTAAGACAGGTTCCTGCTGGAAAGGAAGCAGCTCAGCACCTCTCGCTCCCATGAATAGTCTGTGAAATGCATTTATTAAAAATTTATTTAAAACATTTATTAAAAAGGAGTCTTAACTGCTTTGACCATTCTCTGTAGTTCTAACTCTGACCACAGAGTTAGATGATGACTCTCAAATCGATACTCAAATTTACGTTGTATGAATTTTTAATTGATCAGGTTGTGGAAAGGGTAATATTTTAAGGGTTTGGTTTATATCCGCTTACCAAGTCAATGTTGTAGAACAGGATGTTTTACTGAATTTACGATTTGATAATACATAAAGACTGTCTTGCAGATAATTATTTTAATTTGGGGAGTACAAGATCAAACTGCAAATATTCTTGTAGCTTTTTTAAACTTTTCTAGGAACATGATCAGTAACAATTGTTAGGTGTGTGGCACCAAACTGACATTTGCTATGAAGAGCTGAGGGTCCTGCTCTTACATGGGATGCTTGTAATTTTAAAGCATTTAAGCCTCCCTAATCATAAGGGATGATGCTGCAAGGACTTTGATAATTAGATTTTATTTAAAAAAAAAAAACAAAGATATGATAGACTCACACTGATCAGAGAATCTCAGCAGTTTCAGCAACAAAAGCAGGAATGTTTGTCTTGATCAGTTCATCAGGGATTTCCTAAATTCCCTGAAACCCAGTTTGAAAGCATGACTTCAGGCACAGTTTTGAACAAATCTGACCTTGTAAATAAGACTTACCCAATTTCAGTACTTACAGGGCCACTGTCCTTAGAATTCTTCATGATCCTTAACATACTTAAATGTGTCATTAAATTATTAAGACTACAATTCAAATTATTAGCAATTTATATAGAAAGATGAAGAAAACTGATGTAATTAATCCATTATTCTACTGTGCTTTGCAGGTCCTAAAATGGTAGAATTCCACGGTCAGCAATTTCAGATCAACTCAAAGGACGGCAAACCACTTTTTACAGTGGATGAAAATGAGGTTGTAATTGGCACAGATAAACTTCGAGTCACAGGTTTGTAACAGTTTGAGAAATGTCCAAATAATAGCCACAAGGAAAACACGATGAAAAATGCCATTTTTAAATACATCATTTTGTGAACACAGGTTCTGGTTTTACCTCATTAGGGAATAGAAATCTGTAGATATTCTAACCTTTGTCAGCAAGTAATCAGTAAGAATTTTTAAAAGCAAAATTATAATGCATATCACAGTAAAATAATAATTGTATATATATGTATATTTTAGTGATCGGTGTGTTTTTTTCTGAATTATTAAATGTTTGTAATGCACAGTTAACTGAGGCTGAAAAAATTCTAGATAATACAAATTGAGTTGAATTGGGTTTTATTTGTGAAAACGTTTTTAGATTCTCTCTGATATTTTTGTATGATTTTATCTTTCAAAGTGAAAGCCACTGTATTTCTGCTTTGTGTGTAGACATATGTGACAGAATGGTATTTGTAATATATTTTAAATGCCATTTTTCAAAGACAAGTTTGTCTTAGGCTCTTTCTTCAAATCACCAAAGTACACATTTACAAAATAAGTTGTCATTTATCACATGAAAAGCTATTTCCTCTCATATGACCTGATAAAGTCAACATTCATTTTCCAGGTATAAGGTTGCATTAATGGAGATGTATCAAGGTGTGATTTCTCCTTAAGCAGAAGAATCCATCAAAGCGAATAACAAGAAATATTCTGTAGCTTGTTTTGAATTACATTTTTGATATTTTTAACCTGAGAGCAACTATCATGATTAACTTTTGCTAATTATTGGTCCCCTGAAATCTTGAGGTCTTAATTTGAATTGATATATTCATATTATGTCACTGTGCAAAACTACAAATGTCGTAAATATACAATTAGTGTTTCAAAGCCAAAGTTAAGTTATAATAAATGTGTTAATAAATTCTGTTTACGCCTGAGGGTCTTATCTTAAGTTTTTTACTATTTAACCTAATTGAAATTACAAGTGTGTTTAACCAGGAAACCATATCAAATAATTATTGTTTGCCCATGGGATGCTAAACTTTAATAGAAAAGCATGTTTAACAAAGATATGAAAAACAGCATAATTGTTAACTGATTTGGAAAAGTCTAGCTCTGCTCAAAGTAAGGAAAAATAATTCATACATGAGTTTAAATTGTTATGCTAAAACATGTATTCTGACTTTTCCAATATTAGTCTTTACACTGCAAGGACAATTGTTTACTTTAGCAGATACTGTAGAAAGACGTGTTGCCTGTTTCTTTTTTACACTGTAGTACAAGGTAAAAGCAAACCCATTCAACTCAGTGAGGCTATTTCAGTGTAAAATTAATAAGAGTGAGACGAGATTCATACCTACTTTGCTTCCAATTAATTTATTAAAATTGTGATTTAAATGATACTATTAGCATGAAGGATTAATTAGTAGTACTTTGCATACTGAGATAATTTTTTAAATATTTTAGATAAAGAACAAGATTAATGTGGAATTTTGCAAAGCTCATATCATAAGAAATAGAATACCTCAGGCTTAAAATACACAAACATCTTGCAATATTTTATATACAATATAGGGGACTATTTGATTTTAGTTTTAGTTTGATTTTATTTATGTGAATTATGAAAAGCTCAGTAACAATTTGTAAGAAAACCTGAAAGGCTTCAACTAAAATATAATGTAGCAGAGAGCAAATGCCTGTGATTTAGGATCTTTCAGGAAAAATTAAAAGTCTAAGAATAAGTTAGTACAATCCAACACCTCAGGAATTGTCATTTTCCAACAGTTTGGTATGTTTGACCTCATGCTATTTCAGTTAGATGTTTTCTGGCCCATACGATAGAATGAAACAGCAGCAGGCCCTCTCTTTGTTCTCCTAATAAGGGCAAATGCCTGGGGAAAGCCATGAGCAGCAAGGTGTCTCAGGTACCTCACAGGGTCACAGGTCTTGATGCTCGGGTTTAGACAACTGAATTGAACCTGAAGTCAACACAGTCAATGCAGTCTACAGCATGAAGGAGGCACCTAGACTTGGCATGGGGAGAGCTACTCTGCTGGCCAAATACAGTTGTCTACTTTAGGATGAGCTCAACGGCTCACTCATCTCCCTTGAATATAGTGGCTGAGTTCATATGCTAAAACTTGATCATCCAGCAGTATTTGAATCACCTTTGGATATCACTTTATCTACAAGAGACACTTCATTTGATCATGGCAGTTGAAGGCTAAGCATGATGAACAAGGGTGTTTTAGATTACAGTAGGTACATATGATTAGGTAACTGAATTCTGCCTCTATGTTATCTGTGGCACCTACATCAAAGACATTTAAATTTAAGTGTATGAAAATGAATCTCAGCTCAACCCTTCATGACAACTAATGCTACCCGGAGATGTACTCCAATTACAATCTTTTCAATATTCAGTAATGACCTGCATCTTTTGCAGACATCTATTACTCTGCTACAGAAGTATCGAGCATCAACATTTTTTCTTGTAGGTTTTTATACATTCAGTTGGCATTGGTGACAGTAAAACCCACCTTGTAACAGTGTATTAGCTAGCAAATAAATTACTGCTTTATAACTAATAATACTGTCATGGCAGTAGGAGTGAAGTCACAGGACTAGCTGGAGACAGAACCTTCCCGCACAAATGGCTAGAGTCCATAGCCATAGGAGTCCACTTCTTCACTCTCTTGCCTGGCTTTCAAACTTGCCACCTGGAAGGCTGTCCATAGAAGGGAAAAAAGCAGATAAAATTATGTGCAATAAAATTCATTCAGCTGATATAAAATGGTCTCAAGTACTGCACAAAAAAACTTTTTAACAGGTACAAAGTATAATTTATATATCATGACTGTTGTATTGGGTAATATTTTGGTGGTGAGAAGGTAAGAAATTAATAGCATGTATTTGCTTAGCCTCCACTTTTCTTGAAGAAAAGGTGGCAGGGCAGAGGGGATCGTTATCTTTATGGAGAAGCATATTGTATTGCCCTTTCTCCGGTTTACTACTTGTACTGCTTGGTTGTCTTTCACAATGTCTTAAAGATTTGCTGAGAATTGTCAGTGATTTTCTAGTGCTCTGTTATATGGAAAGGTTTACAGTTTGAGTAGTTAATGCTGAAGTGCAACGTGAAGATGTATGTTTGATTTAAACACTTCTGCTCAGAAGGTAAGGTAAGTAGGGGACAATTTGAGGGTATGAATAAACATTCTGTTAGACTTTGAAGAGGCATATAGTCTGTGCTTGATAGGGTGTGTAGGGGATATCAATCAACCTTTCTGACTTCAGTCCTCTCATTAAGAAAATTAGTATCTTGAGCTTGTGTATTGTAGAATTAAACTCATAAGTAATAGTCTATAAAACAGTAAATGTAGTAATATTCATATCATATTTGATGTTATTTCTTTACAGTTTAAAATATAAAGTAGGTAATGAAGATAAGAAATCTATTTAGGGCCATTAAAAAAAAAAAAAATTGCCCTGAGATTATTTTGGGGGTTTTAGTGTCATACTTAATTTTTCTCACAGGAAGGCATGGTTTTACTCAGAGGTGAAAGCTTAATATATGCAGATAAGCCATTTCATTCCCTGTTACACTACCACCACCACCCATCTCACTAGTGCATTAATGCTGCTATTTCCCAGTGGCTTTCTGCCATTATGAATATTTAGGTCTGTAACATTTGCAAAGATTTTGTGGAATTTTAATTCTATTAACTGTAATGGAAGCTGCACTTTAAAAATCTTGCTACTTATTTTATTGTCTCAAGTAGTTTAAAATTTCTCTGTCTTTGCACTTCTTGGACTTCATTTTCAAATTTACACATGTATTTTTACATTACCCATGTATTGGGTTGTTCCAATCAATGCTGTAATAGTAGTACCGTAGCTATATTTTCATTGTCTTATTAACTGTTAATATATGGTTACTCATTTTCTTTTTTAATATCAATGTGGCCATATAAATCACTGTTGCTGTTTTCTTTCCATTTGAACTTTTATATATAGTATTTTTCTTTATTTTTTGCAGGGCCCGAAGGAGCTCTTTTTGAACATTCTGTAGAAACACCACTTGTGAAAGCAGAAGCCTTTAAACAGCTTAGGTAAGAATTAATGCATAAAAACATAAATCTAATAGGTAAACATTGTTTACTATAGATACTCATATTTTTTCTGAACATGGCATTTTCAACATTTGCAGAACTGTATTTTAAAACAAATTACTGTTTTAAATGAAAATTATATATTGCTCTGCGATTTTGAAAGGTATTATGAATGCTTTATTGTTGGTGGTGAATATTTAATGCTGCATAATATACTGTGGAAAGTTTTTCAGTAAACTTCTATTTTTCAGCTTTGGTAACCTTAGGTGTGACTTTTTCTATTATGTTGCGACAGAAGTTGCTTGTCTGCAGCAGGTCATTGACCTATAATTAGTCAAGACTTTTAGAAACTACTGTCAGTCTGAGGAAACACTAGTAAGAACACTTTGGAAATGTGCAATGTTCTGTTTGAGAGAAGTTTGGGGTGAGAAAATCATTATGAACTACTTTGTATGTTTCAGAGCCCCTTAATTCAGGGATAGCATTTCTTTCTGCATCATTTTAAGTATCCCAAATTAGCTTGTAATAAGTTGGTTATGATGAGGTAATAAACTCAAATTACATTCTGTTCATGAACTTGTTATGTTTCTTCTTAAAAGCCAGTTCAAAGAAAGGTTTGAAATGAAAGAGGATCTCTTTAACAAGTATACTTCTGTACTTTCATTCCTTGGCAGTTTGCTACTTTCTGTCATAATTTCTCTTCTTAGTTTTTTTTTTTCTCCAATAGGGATAACTACTAGAGAGTAATGGAAGATGATTAAAGTTTTCAAAAACAGTCTGTATCTTGGTGACTGAATTTTCAAATTAAGAATGGCAAATGAGAGGGAGACCATTAAGATACTTCTTTTAATTTTCTCCTTGATATTTAAGATTTACTTACAGTAAGATATGTGTGCATTTGAAGATCACATGAGCTTAAGACATTAGTTTTTACGTGTTGATGTCCACTTTCAAAAGTGCGTGTCTTCTACTGTGGTAGAATTTGGATGTGACAGACTTTGATCAATATGTAGGATTATGCATGGTAGTGAACGTTGCCTGATTTTGTAGGGATTGGATTCATTATGTTGTAGATTTGTCATCTCCTGTCATTATCTGTTTTTATAAGGTAGGTAGTTGAATTTTGTAATTACAAAGACAAGAATCTCTGCAAATTTTCATTGGGTACATATCAACTCTTTTCTGTGGTTATTACTTCACTTCATATGCATCATCAATTAATTTTTTAACAGGCTTAAAGCTAATAGTTTTATCCTACATTCATTATGTTGTAGTCAATTTTAAGTTCTTATCTGCACTTCATTCAAAAACAATTACACTGTTTCAGACTATAAAAAACTATTATTATTATAAATTTTCCCTGGTTTTGAAACAGGATGTAATTTGAAGGCAATTCAAATTAATTGAGATTAATTCAAATAACCTGATGAGTGGCTTATCTCCTTAGTGATTTTTACCACAATTATAAACACATGCTTTGAGCTAAAATGTTGCTATGTGTTAGCAGAGCTCAAGTGTAGTTTTTAAAGTCTCATTCAGTTCTGTCTTCAGTTAACTTAAAATAGTGGGAAGTACAGGTTCTTCCAGAATTTACAGAAGTTTGCTAAGAATTATAACGTCAAAGAAACACCTACATGGCTACATCAACACTGACACTTGCAACTGACCTTAGTGTTTGACGTAAATCCTAAGAGCTGCTAAACACGTGTGCTAGAGGGCAAGTTAGCTTAACCCTAAGAAAAATGCTGAATATTTGGACATGAAGCTGTGCAATGCATACACCACTCACTCATGTCCTGGCAGGCCCTTACCCAGTTCAAAGCACCTTGTTCCTTTAATTTTATTTATTTATTTATTTTTCCCTATCATAATCAGCATTAAGTCTGAAAGCAGAGGTGGCAGTGATTCTATGGAAGGCTCCAGAGGGGAGCATCAAGAAGCAAATGTATTTGTCTGCAGTGTAGATGCTAAGTTAAGATGTAGGCAGAAAAGAACAATTTATAAAACTCATGCTGGAAAAAGGTTACTTTCAAGGGTAATCTTAAATGCCATTGTAAACAAAATTCAGGCATTCTGTTGTGAAAGAGCTCAAATGCGTTTACCAATGAATGGTTGTTTTTTAATGCTTTATAAATATTCTGTTTCATTCCACATTGTTAAATACAAGAAACTACGTACTGAAAAGCTTCACTATGAAAATTTAAAATGACATTTTAAGTATTACTTTTCTATTTTAAACTTGAATATGCTCCTTTTCCACATTAGAGCTATTTGCTCACCTCAAGCCTTATTGTCACACTTTCACTGTCTATTAATCTTCTATTTTTCCTCTATTTTTCCTTCAGTGGTTATGCTGTAGCATGTGAATATGATACGCTAGATGAATGTGATATGAAGTGCCATGGTATGCAGCATTAAATATAGGGAATACTGCTTCAAGAAAACCCATCCACTTCAAATGTAGTTGCATGTTTCAAGGAGCTGATTGGAAAGCTGTTAATGCTCATAACTTTTGTGCTAGTGTCACATGAACAGAGGCCATATTCACTCTCTGTCATTCAGATTTAGGGCAGGATTGGAAACAAAGCTGACATAAATGGCCTTCTGATTTAAACATTCTGCTGGCTTTCCTGTCCAAATGCCGAATTTCAAGATAGACTGCTTTTCTGGGAACAAAGAGATAAGTGTGTTAGAACATATCTTTTTATAGCTAAGTAATGGAGACAGAGTAATGCAATTATACTGCGGTCAGTAACTGTCTTTTCATTCCGTAATTTGAAGGAAACATATAGAGTCTTTTTCAGTCTAATAGACTGAATTCATGGCTCACCCATAAAGAGATATGCTTGCACTTACTTCCAACTTGGTAGGAAGAATTACAACAACTAAAACAGAAATTTCAAAAATGAAGCTTTCCTAGGTTTAAAATAACATTGCCTAGTTTTTAATTCCTTTCCTGGATTTCTTAAATCTAAATAAAATACCTAGTTTCATTTACAAAATATAAGACTGCAATACCAGTACAGACTTACAAGCAGGGTATTGCACAGAATAAAATTCTGACAGACATCCCAATGGCATGCTTATAGTCAACAGGAAGGTTCTGATACATCCAGGAAATAGCCTATGCAGAAAAACAGCACTGAGGAGGTACCTCATTAGAATTAGCCTGTTATCATTAATAAGAACAGAAATAGGTCTGGACTCCTACTTTTCCCAGCAATTCACATGCCTCACATTTTCCAGGTGCAGAGTTAGGCCATCAATCAGCATCCCCAGGTCCTTTTCCACCAAGCAGCTTTTCAGCCACTCTTCACCAAGCCTGTAGCGGTGCATGGGGTTGTTGTGGCTCATATCCACGATCTAGCAATTTTTATTGTTGACCTCAACAAGCACCTATTTAATGGGTCACGTCTCCTCTCCTGTAGCTGAATCAGATCTTCCATATGGTCACGGGACTACAGCAGAGCAAGCAAGAGGAAGCACAAGTTACTCTTGTTTAGGGAATCCATCCAAGAGCCAGAGGATACCAGGGGGTTTCAGTTACAAAAGTAAACCTGGAAGAAGAACCAGATGAATGTCCTGGCTTCTAGTTTGTCTCCTCTTTATTTGTGCTATTTCTTCCTGGATTATTTGGTTGTACAAAGGCTTGCATTCAACACAAGGATTGCTACAATCCAGCTCATTATGCCTGCCAAACTGTTTCATAGTCTGGTAAATGAAGGTAATGGATAAAGGTTTCATTTCCCTCAAGATGACGAGGGAACTGATGCTTTATAATTCCTGGCTGAATAACAATATCAATAGGATTGTGTTATATGTAATATAGGTTTATGCATATTATAATATTGATTATTTTTTATCAGGTCTCCAGGGGCTTCTATAGAATTTAGCTGCCACCTCTAACTGAATGCCAACAACATTTTAATGGAAAATGGGTGCCTTGCTTTCTAAATGAAGGAAGTTAAATAGAATTATGGAAGCTCATATTCAAATACATATCTTGTAACCCAAAATGTAGGTGGGAAAACTGTAACAGTAACTAATGGAACTAGCAGATGTAGAGAGAGACTTTTATAGAAACTTCCTAAAAGCCAGCTTCTCCACAAGTTCCATGTTAGTTACTGGAAGTAGCCTCTTCTTGTATTCTTGAGAGCCTCATGCCAGCACACATACCCTTTTATATCCCCAGTTATCAAATAAGAATCTTGATGTGAAAACTAGCGTCTCAGTTTAGACATTTTTCCAGTCTGATGCTAACATAGTTTTCTAATAATTTATAGCACTTTAGAATACTTTTGGCATATTATTTTATTCTTTCTATATTTTATATCCTTGAAGGTTTTGTCATTTTGATATTGTTCATTTCTTGTGGTCTACATGGCTAAGGCAAAACAATGAATGAGCAAAATTCTTTAAATCTCAAAACAATGTTTCTGAGCTGAGCATTCACACATTTCCCAAACTTAGGGGAATGTGCTTACAAAAGTGACATCTTTCCATTTATTAACTAACTGCACACTATGCATAATTAATATAATGCTCATGAATGTGTACTAGCTTTGCTCTCATATTTGCTGCATATGGATGTCTGACAGCCAGAAACTGTTTCTTCTGAGCACAAATCCTGTGAGAATTAACTCTCAGTACAGTCAGTTTGTGGTATTTTGCCAATTCTTCAACTGAGGGTTTACATACAAGTTCAAAAGTGACCCACAGCTTTCCACCCTTCTTGGATTTGCATAGCACTGTAGCAGGAATGATTCCACTCTTCCAGAGAATCAACTTTTGTTAAAGTATCATTATAAATATATATATAAAGTGCTATCCAAATGTGGGTGTATTCTCAAAAGACTTCAGTAATTCCCAGAAAAGCAGATGTTTTTTAAACAAACATATAATACTGACATTCACTGAAACTTGAAATATATAATTTTAGAAGCATTGCTTCATATTTTAATAAAATGCCTATGTCCAGTGCTTAAAAGCATAAAAATATA